CTGCCTCATCATCGCCTTTTGGCTGCTTTTGTAGGAATGAATGCGCTCTGCAGCTATTTTCTGACTCATGGAAGATTATAGCTGCCCGCTGGTAGCCCGTCGCTGCCCGCTCACCGCCATTCCTACAATGTCGTCGCCCGCTCACTGCCGCTTTTGCAGTATCGCCGCCCGCTCAGTGAAACTGCCCTTTATCGCCGCCGGCTGAGGGCCTGTGATTGTCTGAGCATGTCCACCGGCGATGTTCTTTCTTCATGAAGATGGAATTTCCATGGAAAAGTCGTGCGGCGGAGAGAAGCCCAACAAGACGGTTGCCGTTTTCGTTCCGGAGCCCATATCCAAACTTCCCGATCCTATATTCCTTTTCTAGTGGCATCCCGATTTTCGCATTGAAGTCGCCCACAACATACTTGTAGAAGGACTTTTCGTTGCGGACGACTTCCTCCACGTCTTCGTAGAAAGCATCTAGTTCTGAGTCTTCAGCTGCTGATGTTGGAGAGTAGCAGTTGATGATGCTGATGGTCTTCTGACGTGGAGGGCGTAGTCGTAGGATGGCTAGTCGGGGTGATAGGATCTCGTGCGAATCGACAAGATGGACGATAGATGGGTGGACGACAAAGCCAACACCTCCCACGTTTCGTGATGGAACCTTCTCACCACGAATGATGAGTGTTCCATCATTCATCTGTCGCATGTCCTTCTTCCTGGACTTCGTTTCCTGCAGAGCGATGATGTGGTACTTGATGTGCTCTGCAGCGTCGAGAAGAGCGTGGAGGTCGGCGTTTGTGGAGACTGTCCTGGCGTTGTAGGTGCAGAGCATGAGGCAGTCTCCGTGGCGTGTCGTCCGGGCAGACGTGTCGTTTTTGTTCAATCCAAAAGGCGCCCTGAGGACCCTGACATCAGTCTTGCTACCACCCGGCGCCGTAGGCGGGATCCGATGTACAGGGTTTCTTTCTATTCTTCTAACTGGTAGAGTAATGAAATTTTTCCCCTACAAGAGCAGACTTACTAGGCCAACTCTTGATTTCCACGGGGCGATCGCTGACCCCGGGCTTGGAGCGGGGAGAACCGCCTAGCGACCTGAAAACCAGACGGCGGCGGATCTGGCCTGGCCGGCTCTTAGCTAGGCATCCGGCCGAAACCGGAAACGTCGAACTCCTTCACAGCTTGGGAGGCCCTGCCAGAGTATACACTCGGCTGTGCATCGCAGTTCGACACCCAGTGTCACCCCCACGCCCGATGAGGCGGCCGACCACTGTGGGGGTCCGTGGTGATACCCATTTCCAAAATGTCTATACCCACTACCTCAAATGGCCTAGTGGTGACAATTGGACGTAGTGGTGGGACCATTGCTCGCTGAGGGTTGTGACACAAGCATTCTCGGCACTCTTCTGCCCAACGCCAGATGTCCCTTCTCATAGATTCCCAGAAAAATCTCTTAGATAGCTCCCGCCACATCTTCTTGGCTCCGAAGTGTCCCGCTAACACTCCGTAATGTGCATCTTCAAAGAGTTTCTTTCTCTGGGAAGGTGGTACCACCTTCCGCAAGCAATCTTTATCCACCAGCATAAGGTGACCTCCACTTATGATAAAATCCGCTACTTTGTACCTCAGCGATGATCCCGGAAATTCCACTTTTCCATCCACTTCGTCCTTTTCCAGTCTTTCTATAATCTTCCGGTAGGGTGATATCTCCCCAAGTTCCTTCATCCATTCCGTGTCCTCAGACATGGACGCCACTATAAGCGCATTTTGCATAGAGTCGTTACATGCGCACAAATCTTCCTCAGTGGTTGCCCCCCGACTTAGCGCATCCGCGACTCGATTTGCGGCCCCTTTCAGTTATACAATCTTCAAGTTGTACTTCTGCAGTTCGAGTGCCCACCGAAGGACTCGATCTGACACATTTGTACGTTTGAAGATTGCGGTCAACGGCTGGTGATCCGTGTATACTTCTACTGGCAGTCCATAGACAAACATGTGGAACTTCCTTAAAGCAAAGACCACTGCCAAGGCCTCTAGGTCGGTTATATGGTACCTTCTTTCGCAGCTGGACAAGCCCTTGGAAGCGAAGAAGATTGGATGCAGCAGTCCATCCTCTCCTTCCTGGCTGAGCACCGCTCCTAAGCCTTGGAAGCTGGCATCAGTGTGGATCTTGAAAGGCCTTGTTCCCTTCCTCGCGGCCTCTACATCGGGTTGAGCGAGCACCGGAGCTTCGGTGATCACCCTCTTTAGCCGCTGAAAGCTTGCCTTTCTCCCTTCCGTCCATTCGAACTTCTTCTTCTCTGAAGTAAGCTCATGTAGCGGGCCCGCTACCTTCGCGAAGCCCAAAACGAACTTTCTGTAATAGGAGCACATTCCCAGAAACGTTCGCAGGTCTGACCGCGACTTTGGAAGTGGGCACGCTAGTATGGCTTCTATCTTAGCTGGATCCATATGTAGACCGTCTTGGTCAATTACATGGCCTAGGAATCCCACTTTTCTTTCGAAAAGAACGCACTTCCGCGGATTCAGTCTAAGCCCGGCGCTCTCCAACTTTCGAAAGACCTCCTCGAGCACATATACGTGTCTCGCGGCTGAATCCGTCGCATTAATAATGTCGTCAAGATAACAAAATACTTCTTCGCCTTCTAACAACGTACCCAGTACGTTGTGCATCAACCGCTGGAACACTGGAGGAGAAGCTGATTGCCCGAACGGTAGTACTCGAAACTGAAACAACCCTTCGGTAGTAACGAAGGCAGACTTCTGTTTCGCATCTTCCGACAAACTTATCTGCCAGTATCCAGACGCCAAATCAAGGGTTGAAAAGAACGCCTTTCCTTTCAGGCTCTACAGAATTGAGTCGATGGAAGGTAATGGATAGCTATCCACTCTAGTGACTTTATTCATCTTTCGATAGTCCACACTCAACCTTAAAGACCCATCTTTCTTCCGAAGCAATACAATGGGTGAGGCCCAGCTCGATCTGCTCGGCTCGATTACCTTTCTTGCCTGCAAATCATTCAAAATACGCCTCAGTTCCACACGAGTTGCCAGAGGCACTGGTCGCGCCTTCTGCCTTATGGGCGACGCAACTCCTGTCTCGATGTCATGCTCCACAAGGTTTGTCTGAGAGAGCTCCTGGTCGGTGACCGCAAAACCTTCTGCGTGGCGTTTTACCAGACTTCGGATGTCATCCTCGAGGTTGCCGCTCGACTTGCTCTTCTCCAGCAGCTTCATTAGGCGCTCTTCTCTATTCTGCGCTTCAGAAGCCGTCCTCTCCAGCATGTTGCCTTGATAGCTGAGAGGTTGCTGTTCCACTACCTCCATAGGTTCGAACGTTCCAATCTCTTCCCCTTCTCGGAAAAGCTTGGCTCCTGACAAGCCATTAGTCACCGGAACGTTTAATGAAGTACTATCCTTGTCCCAAACCATATCGGGAACCATTCCACACTTTGACCAAAAAATCCCTTCTTTTGGTCTGCCTTTTCGGGTAACAGGCAACACCTTAGTCTCACCTGGTCCGACGTACACTCGTTCCATACTGGTGACGACTTCCTGTTGCTGTTTCCCTCTTCTTCTTTTCGGCTTCTCCTCAGATTTGGGTACTTTCGCTTCAGTACCGTCGTTTTTCGAAGCGCTCTTATTGTTGGTTAAGGAGAATCCGAGCTTTGACAGGGCGTTTGTACCAAGCACAATCATGCCATCCGCTCCTGCCATCACGAACATCGATATTTTCTGCTTCACACCGTTCTCTAGCTCAATCGTGAGCTTGACTGCCCCCTTGAATCTCATTCGGTTGCCCGAAGCATCGTATACTGGAGCTAGGTGGTCTATCGCTACCTCCTCAGCATTGGCATCCAAGTCATATCCGCTGTCTCGGCTGGTCACTAGCATCTGCAGAGGTATAATGCTTACTTGGGAGCCCGTGTCTATCAGTGCTTTCCGCGATAGACATAGCAGATGGACATTAGTAACCATCTGCTCCCCTACTAGCTCAGTTACGTTTTCTGGTGTACCCATTGTGCCACAAATCCATTTGTTCAGTGAAGTTGTGAGAATCTTCGGTGCATCGACATTGAGGTCATTTCTTTTTGGTTTTCTGCAATTACGGCTGTAATGTCCTACTTCGTTACAGTTTTAGCAACGTGGTTGTTTTTTCTGGGAAGCCGCTGTTGCCGGAACATCTTCCTGACCGACAATTCTTGTAGCTTGTGGTCTGTTCCTACTCCCCGTTGGCTTTCCCCCAATACTCGTCTTCGGAGGTTCTTCCGTGATCTGTCTCGTCGCGTTTGCAACGTCCTTGCAGCGCTCACACCTTTGTGCCATGGCCTTGACCAGCTCATATGCACACTCCTTAGGAGCAGTCTCCATGGCCGTGAACAATTGCAAATATTCCGGCCATTTCGTTAGCTGGGAGACTAGTTCTCCGGCTCTTGTTCGAGAGAGTTCCCTATCTGTCGCATCGGGATAGGCTCTCTGCGTCAGCCTCTCAAGCTCGAGGCAGTAGGAGGTAATGTCTTTGCCCATTCTTAGCCTCTTCAGCTGCATGTAGGCCTTCATTTGGTCGGCGGAGTCATGCACTTTGAATTCGTCCCGCAGTGCTTCTATGAAGTTTTCCAAAGTGCCCTCCTTCAACCGTCTTGGCAGTGCCTCTGCTACGGCCTTGGAATATCCCCCCAGCTTTGAGAGAAATAGGTGAAGGAGCATGTCATCATGCAACCCTAGACCGCTATATTTCATTCGGAACCTCAAAATGAACTCGTCTAACCCTTTTCCCTGTGGGTCTCTAAAGACTTCTACTTCCGGCAAAGCCATCGCAGCAAACATTTGGGCTATGCTATGCTTGTTTGAGAATCTTGAGTTATGGTAGTTGGTTGGCTCTCGACAGGTTCGGATGTGGCGCCGTCGGCGAATTCGTCCCTGCGGGCTGAAATTGATGAGCATCTTGATCATCATTGCTGTTTGACACTTCTCGCAATTTGCCTAAGGCTGCGGCTATAAGATCAAATTCAGCGTACATGTGCTCATTACCTTCCTCCGTGTGAGGATGATCTTCTTCTGAAACTCTTGACGTGGACTGCGTGGGACCCTGAATTACCTTGGTTGAATTCATTGGTCGGATCTCTATGCTTTCCACAGACTCGTCTACGAGTTTGTTAGTCGCTCGCGCGCAGCTGATAGTGAGGCGTAGCGCTTTGCATAAGAGCCTGTCTTGCTTTTGCAGCAGTTCTTCTACGCCTTCTAGGTTTTTGAGTTCGCTGCTTATTTCCTCACATTCAGTTTCAATGCAATTGCTTGCGAGGGTTACAAGATTTTCGCTGGTCCTTGCTTGCGCGCGGGTAAGTTCGTTCTGGTTTTTGAGCGCGGATGGAATTGACTGCAGCGCTTCTACTTTTGCTCTGAGCTTTGCAACTGAGAGCTTTACCTGGGCGGTTCCGTTTTTAGAGATCTCCTGTACCGCCGCTACGAGTTTCTGCAGCGTCTTTTGCATGCTTGTAAGTTGCTCGGTAGGCAGCTCCTCTAGGTTGAGCTTGTCGAAGTCAATTTGTTCCATATTGACGCTCTCCATTGCGAATATACTGCAATCAATCAACTCAATTGCTTTTCACGTTGTTTTCCAATCACGACAACGCGAGTCACAAGGAGAGGGGGGTCTGTGGGTGCCGCTGCAACGTATGTTCCTTTTGACCCGAGATGTTCGATATCGATACACGCAGCGGGGCTGGTATACCGAAATCTCGATCCCAGGATGAGTGGCTTATGCCGCCTCAGCTAGGAACATACACTGCCAGTCGGCAGTTTTAAAAATTTTTTAAAAATCCAAATTAGCCTTGTAAAAAAGATTTTTTCGGAGGCGTGGCGCTGACGCCACGTCCCCTTCTAGAATTCTAGGAGTCTACCCGAAAAAATTTTAAGAAGCACCCCGAATTTTCGGAGTGCCCTTCACTGGAAAAAAATTTTGCGGCCCCCACACCCCGGTCCGAAATCCTGAGACCGCCAATGGTATGGATAGAGCGTAAAAAGCTTTAGATAACAACTGTCAAGGGTGAGCTCAACTGGTTACCTTAATGAAAGAAGAATATGTCTCTCGATACCCAGTGCTATATCTTCCGTTCTAAGGCGTTGAAACCACCAGGCTCCGTGAATTTGGTGACAGTCTCCTCACCCATTTTTGCGCAGACATCTTTGGTAGGCTCACTTGTCTGCGGCGTCGCGCTCAAGGTTCTAAATTACTTGAAATGATGAAATTTGATTTCATGTTTATAGAAATGACGACATGTGACAGTGCTTATCTAAAGACCTCCATCAGAAGGTTCTGATTACTCCCAGTCCCTCCAGCGTTTTCTTTCTTATTTCATTTCCTCCTCACCCATGCCCATCTCTCATTCAACAATCTTATTCTCTGTAGATGTCGCAAGCGATCGTCATGCCTTACCGAAAACATTCTCTGTAAAATCAACAAATCCCTGCTCCTGTGCCCTTCGTCCAAGCGCGTGAATTCAAAATCGCATAAAGGATATCCGTCGACGACCACCGTTTCGTGTAATCACACCACTGCGGGCGTGCCTTTTCGGAGCCTTTCTAGCTTTACAGTACCTGCAACGCGCAGGGACTTCCCAGCTCGCAACATCCCTAACCTATAACTTCTCTTGTGGATTAACCATTTCAAGTCGTTTTTCGTTTTCTTTTTTTCATTTCAGGCACTTACTCGTTCTCATCTCTATATATGACCATAGCCTCGAGCAGAATTAAGAAAAAGAAAGAGCTTTTGCCAGAGCAGTGGTGGGTGTCATGGCTATGACTGGGAATGCATGTTTTTCTTCAGTGTCTTATGTGATTTGCCGGGCAGACTACTGATTATTTTAACACGCTTACATCAGGAACATCATCTAGGGGTGCTGAAATAAACATTTGAGTGGTGGCCTTGCACACCACCACTGTATGTGAAGAAAATCACTCTTTCTTCTGACCTTGCCCGGAAGATGATTCGTAATTTTGAAAATCATGTTCGGTAAGTAAAAAAGGAGAGGAATTTTAGAGAATCTGTCAGAATTGTGTTTCCCTTAGCCTTTCAATATTTTTTCAAATTGAAACTCGTAGGATGTTAGGCTGTCGAGCGAATCCGAAAGAAACGGAGAAGAGCGAGTATCTGACCAGGGAACGATCCCAACTCAAAGGCAGCGACCTTGGCACAGAATGACACTTTGGGATAATCATCGTTTTCGGTTCCCCTGGATGAGCCAAGTCTGAAGCAGTATTTTGCAGCTTCAAAATATATCAGTAATCGCTTTTCCAGACGTGAAGGCTGTTTGGGTGGGTCGCGAAGGTGACTGCTGGAGCCAATGATCCAATTGCTGCCGAGATGGGTACGGTGTCACAACTTACGAGCTAATCGCGCTCTAGAAGGCAAGCATACGCCATGCGCCCAAACAGCACGTCTGGAAAAGCGGATGCTGGTATTTATTGGAGATGCAAAGCACAGCCCTGGAGCTGTGCTTTGCATCTCCAATAAAGCTAGTTAGGTGTTGGTTATTAGTTATTAGCTCATCCAGAGGAACCGAGAACGATGAATATATAGGCTGCTGCATGACGAACGCGCAAGATCTTTGGGCGCGAACGCTGCATAGCGCATGAGGCGCAAGTTTTACCATGGTAAAAATACGCGAGCGTCGCGTTCGCGCCCGCTCAATTAAAACTGCTTCTGCTTCTTCGTCATGCAGTAGCCTTTACCAAGGTTGTCATTCTGCCAAACCGCTGCCTTTAAAGGCAGCGTCCAGGCAAATCTGGACATATGCGGCCCTTAACTAAAGCACTGCCCAACCGGCAGCTCAGGCAGTGCTCTAACGGTTGAGGTATTTATTCCCCTCAAAACTGGATTCCGTGATCGTACTCGCATTTAATCATGACAGTTTCGCACGAGGACCAATGGGTTGCGCCATGAATCCATGCGAAATACGATCCTGGGGCCAGTTTCGAGGCGAATATCTCAGCCGTCATTGCAGCACTTGAGCTGCCGGTTGGGCGGTGGCTTAGTTAGTTCCAATATTGCTATCTACGTGAGAGCCCTCATAAACCAGATTTGCCTGGACGCTGCCTTCAAAGTGGCCAATTGGAATGAACTGCATATCATTAGATTTAGATTTTTGATTTAGCGAACATTTAGCGTCACATCCTCAAGAACTAGTTAATCGAAAACACTTATCTGCATCTTCGGTGATTATAAGCATTCTTCATAATCAGTACCCTCAACATCTTGCTAGTCATGCACTCTCAAGTTGGGAGCTTATAGCAAATCATGCATTAGGTCTTACTGACTTCAAAGGTTTGAATGCGATTGCGTGTGTAAAGTCACTAGATCCCTATCATCTCAACTATCATATTACCGCTTTGTTTTGCGACGTTGCCCGTTGTTTGCCCAAAGTTTGATCGAATGTCTCGACGACTGTTATGCAGTCGAGTTCAAGACTGGACTCCAGGACCGGTAGTGATCTACCATACCTGATAGCATTATAGGTGCCGGCAACTTGGCACACATCGCGGATCGTTGCCAACTCCGGCGTGTAACTCGCAAACTGATCGTAGGTTCTAATTGTGAGAAGCTCGTGTAATCTTAGTCCGCAATCACTGCGCGCATAAAGTGTTGATGGCGCATCCAGCCGCGAAACAGTGTGATCGCGCGCGGTCAAACCCGCATGCGTGAAATTCAAGTGATGTCGCACTAATTTTTCGGCCACTCGATCAACTACTGCTGATTGCAGCAGCAATATCAGAAACCACAGATAAGTGTCGCCTATGAGAAGGCACAGCCACTATCAAGAGACGTTTACCTGAAAAAACAGCTGATTGGCGAGTAAGGGAGGGCCGAGATTATTGCAAACAATCAGAAGGAAGTTCAAAGTGAAGATGGTTCTTTATGGTTTTATAAGATTACTTGGTTCTTTGCATATTTCGCCTATCGAGTAAAACCCATATGATAACAGAAAAGACGACTTTTTATGATGGAAAGCAAAATCTTTTTTGGTTTTTCTGCTTGAAATTGTGCGATATTATAACGCACTACCAAGCACACAGACGCCACCAGCAAGATACCAGCATCTCGACGTGGTAGGGGCGCGTCCAGGTGCTGGCATCTCGTTTTCCTTTCAAAGAGCGCACTTTTTCTAACGCTTTCTGACCTGCAGGCAGCTTCCATTTCTCAGATCTCAACGAGCTATCGGCAGGTTGCCGGTATATTAGCGCCGAAGTTGATGTCAGCAACTACCTACCTCTCATCCTCACCTACCTATCTCCCTGTAGAGCATACCTTCGATACATAGAGCCACGTACTCTGGTAACCTTCACTTTGAGTGTCATGAGAGTACACAACCTTCACGTGGAGAGGAATACAGAAGTCATCCGGGGCGAAGCCCGGATATTATGATATAACTAATGACTAACTATGTAAGGATGAATGTGAATGAGGCAAATATAGTAGTGACATCCAGAAAAAGCTCAAAAAACCGAAGGATCGCGTTTTTATGGCCTTTTTTTGCTGAAAAGAAGGTTTTTCTTCAAAAAAATTCAGTTAGAAATTAGGATGAAACTTATCAATTAACCTTTCTGTAGACTGCGATTGAGCGTTGGAGGTTCATGAAAGCAGCTGGAATTCAATAAAAACGAGAAACTGCGCTGAAATCTTGCGCAGAGAGTCGCCACATAAATGCTGGTCTATCTCGTTATGGAGTGATTTTCAAGAACTGCGACGTTGTCAGTGCTCCTGGCCGTTTCATGAGGATCACAACGATATATAATATTATAGGGTTTTGTTCTGACCCCGCGGAGATCAATGACCAGAGCCAAATGCCCCGCCGGCTCTGGTCTGTCTCCGCTGCTCGTCTGCGTCTCCGCGCGCTGCGCTCTACCTCGCTACCCCAAACGCGGGGCGCGGGGCATTTGGCTCTGGTACCCTTTTCTTCGCTATTTCGAACCCAATTTTAGCATGCTATATATCATTTTGAAGCTCTTGATCTCTATTTTCACGCTGACAACGTCGCAAGACTCCTTTTTATGATTTAAACGAGAAATCCGGCAAAAACCTTGTTTTCGAAAATCTCTCGTTTTTCTCCTAGTTTGACTCTTTTCACGCAGTTTTTTTTTGTGCAGTCGATAGGTCTTGTTTCTGTCTATAATGTAGACAACGTCGCCGAGCTTATTTCTCTGCTTATGCCGGTTTTTTTGTGAAAATTACAAAAAAATGCGTTTTTCTTTACCTTATTCTTTTTCAGCGGTTTCGCAACGAATTTTCTCCAGCTTGGACGATACTTGCTCAGAATGATGAGCGAAAGAATCCAGACAACGTCGCAGGGTACAAGAGGGACGGCGCGAGGGTAAAAATTCAAAGGACGCATCAAAAATCAAAACCCCGTGTTGCGAATTGCTGGTCTTGAAGCGAAAACTTGCACTTTAAAAAGCCGCCAAACGAAAGATTTCAAACCTTATTGCAGCATTTTTATCTGGTTTTCAGCAGTTTCTCTTGCTTTTTATATCTATTTTACGTCATTTTTTCTTCTCTGATCTTCTTTAAACAACCTTCATTATTTATGACGTCAGATGTTCAAACAACCTTCACTTTTGGTGCCCTGTCTCTAGACTATCGAAGGTATGCTGTAGAGGAATTTTTGAAATTTCAAAAAATTAATGTAGGTTTCTACAAAGTCACTAGCCATCTTTATGTAAGAATTTCATTGTACAAAGGCACACTCATAAATATGGAACCTTAGTTTTTCCCGATCTCAAGTCAAGCCTGGCGACTTGCCGACGAGACCTGCTATCAGATCGGGGGGATTACTATCAGCCCAGGTGACGCAATTGCTAACAACCTCAAATGAAATCGATGCAGAGGATTAATGTCAAATATGGCGATGTCGGAAACCATCCCATGCAGAAGCCACTCTCAACGCAATCAAAACGTAGCAAAATTTTTTTGGGTTATAGAGATACAATCTCATCGACTGTGGCACAAATCGTGACCATCAATAAGCTGAAGTTTGGAATTTTCGACAAAACCTGCGAGTCAAACAGGTGACACATCATTTTTTGACAGAATGAGAGTGACACATGTCTTAAAGAATCTTGGCAGGAATGGTTCCGGCTAGACTCAATAATTAACTAAATCAGAAAACGATATGAGCTACTGTTGTCGCAACTGACAAGGGAGGGATACCAACATTAGGCGGCGATTGAACATGAATTGTACATCAGTAGACGCGCTTTTGAACGCTGATTCCAACTCTGCTTTCACTTTTCGCGAAATGAGTTTCCGAAAGAAGTTGTGGGCTTTTAAATGTCCAAATCTGTCAATGTTTAGATAGCCTAAAATGGGTGAAAAGCTGTACAAAAACACCGGAAGTAGAAATTCATTTTTGTATCGAGTATATTGTTTGCAAGGAAGTAACAAAGCCGATGGAAATCGCATAGGTGTTGTTTTTAATTTTTTTCTGATTTTAAGCCACTCAGATCATGACAATTCTGGACATTCGAACGCTCATAACCTCTTTCGGAAACTTATTCCGCAAAAAGGAAAGCAGATTTGGAATCAGCGTTCAAAGGCGCATCTAATGTTATACATCTCATCTGCAATTGCCGACTAATGTGGGTATTCTTCCCTCGTGAAAGCAAAAGATCCGCTTGTGTTAAAAAAGAAATGCAAAACCAATATTTTGCCATTTTTGTAAAAAAAAGTCCACCGTTTTTCTTCCAGTTGCTTGACTGGCAAATAATTTTTTGAAGCTTGTTCTCTGATTTTGAATAATTCAGAAGCTTTCCAAGATTCTCATAGTCTTTTGTAGCTATGGATGATAGGGTCTTCCCTGTCTTAGAGTGAGAGTTTCGCATGGGTCAAGGATGTGACCGTGCAAATTCGTAGAGCTTCGCATCACGACAACGCCCCTCAGGCATGAGGTTCCCAAAAGTCTTCAAAAATTCTGAATTCAAAATCAAGAGGGTTAAAGAGCTATCTTACAACTTATGTTGATCCACTATGCACAGCGATAAAAACTTTTTACTAATAAGGTCGTTCCTTTCAAAAAAAAACGTCTCGGAAAGTCGTAAAGTTTCAACGGTAAAAGTAATGAATTTTTTCAACCGGATATGCATAAATTGACTTTGTTCATGCCGATTAGTTTGTAGTTTCACTTGGTACACCAAGCAGTTTTTTGGAAAGTTATGAGCAGCGTCTATAGCACGTCGTGCATTCCTTCAACATGTTGTAATGGCAGCATTCACCTTACAATTTTTTTTTTACATGACGCTCCTCCTCTCAAGCGGTCAAAGCGTTCGAACGGTGCATTGTCAATTCTTTGTCTCTCGTTTCTCATAGCTAATATGCAAAACTCATAGCCTATTCATAGACCACACAAAAGTAGTGTAGAAATGTTTCTTAATTTTCCAGGTTTCCAAAAATGTCCGAAGAGGAAGTGTAAGTTGTTTGTTTTATTCCACCTTTTGTGAAGCCTACCCATTCAATTAAGTTCTGAGGAGGAAGAGATCGACGAAGAAGAAGCCGTTGAGGAAGGTGCCGAAGAAGAAGAAGCCGCTGCTGAGGAAGAGCAGTAAGTATACAGTATACTTATTCCTACCACCGTACTTACTACGCTTGATTTTTCAGTCATGAGGATGAGCATGCTGAAGATGAGAAGTGAGTTTTTTCATCATTTTCATCACTTGATTGTTTTTCTCCCATATCTATGTCTAGAAACAAAAGCGGAGGAGAGGACAAAGCTCCTGCACAGATAACGGAAGCAGAACGTGCCATGATTGTAAGTGCAGTGGAAGAATGAGACCAACTAACTGCGATTGTTGTAGGCTGCCAAGAAACGCCATGATGAAGAAGAGGCAGCGAGAATGCAAGAATACGAGGAAAAGCGTCGTGCTGAAAGAGAGAGAATCGATGAAGAATTGCGCGAACTGAAAGAAAAACAAGAAAAAAGACGTCTCGAACGTGAAGAGGACGAACGACAGTATGCCGAACGCCGTCGTCAAGATGAAGAACGAAGAAGGCAGGAGGAGGTATGTATACTTACGGTTGGTTTACACCGATCAACTTTCGTTTACAGGAAGAACGAAAGGCAAGGCTTGAAGCGGAGAAAAGTCGTAAAAATGTGGAAAGGATGAAACGACAGCAAATGATGGCAGGATCCTTTGGCGTATCTTCGAACCAGCCTGTCAAGAAAAATTACACAATAACAAAAAGCGATCAAGCTGCTCAGTTTGGAAATCTAGCACAGGTACGGGAAGAGCGTGCTACAGTAGCTCTTATCAGGTTAGCAGCAGAGATTTTTTCGTTTCAAGGGTAAAAACGATGCACTCAATAAGGAGCAACAGGAGGAAGCAAAGCGCGCATTCCTGGCGGCTGTCTGTCGTCCCCAGGATATCTCAAACGTTCTTCCCAATGATTTGAAGGAACGAATCAAAACTCTTCATGCTCGCATCGTCAAATTGGAAAGCGAAAAATACGACCTTGAAAAGCGTCATGAGAGACAGCAGTATGATGTAATTAACTCGAACAAGGTTTCTTCTCTTTAGGCTAATACGGTTTCTTTTAGATAAGAGAGCTGAATGAGCGACAGAGACAAGTCGCTCGAAACAAAGCTATTCAAAAGGGGCTTGACCCTGATGAAGCTGTCTCATCCAAGCATCCACCAAAAATCACCACTGCCTCAAAATTCGATCGCCAAACAGATAGAAGGTGAGCGCGCGGTTTGTACAGCTTGTGCACCTCAAGCCTACATAGTACTGACATCCCAATCCTTATAAACTTATTTCTGCAGATCTTACGGCGATCGTCGTCTTATGTTTGAGCACCCGACTATTCAAAGACCTTATACACTTGCCCGCGGGACAGCTCGTCCTCCGAGCGAATGGGGTCGCAAGGAAAACGAGGAACTCGAACAAATTCGGTACAATACTTCGTTTAGAATATCCCATCGAATTTCCATTTTTTAGCAAGAATCTTGAGCCACCAAAGTACGTAGAACAGGTACGCGCCGAAGGCGATGCCGCGAAACCACCGGTTGCTCCAATACCGTTGGTGCTTCCGGAAAAAGAATTCGTGGAAGAGCCACCACCACCAGAACCTACGCAACAAGCACAGGTAAGGTGCTTAAGAGCACAACGTTTATGAGCCTCTGAATACCGTGTCTATATTGCAGGAAGCTCCTGCAGAAAATGCGCAGAATGGAGAAGTTCCTGCAGAGACAGAAGCTCCCGCCGAAGCAGCACAAGAAGCTCCCGCAGAAGAAGTCGAAGTTGCCGCCTAGACGTCAAAAATGCCTACAAACCTTCGCGTGTGCCATATTTGTTCACTACAGGAGCAAAATTACCAAACAAATTAGTGTCTGAAAAACTGGTGAAGGCATGTAGGCATTGTATACCTGTCTCGCTTTTTCACATAAATATTTTACCAAGTCTGGTTTTTGAAACACTGTTTTTATGCAATTTTAAACTATTAGCTAATCAGAGTTACACTTGCTATGTGTTATAATTAGAAATTTCGAGAAGCCTGGTGATTCGAGAGCTAATAATTGCACGAGTCCCTGCTTAAGTCCCTAGTTTTTTCTGAGGCATTTTTTCCATGAACTGAACATCTCCGTTACGCACAAGTTCGTTTAGCCCATTGCTCCAGAGCAGGTTACATTAACTATGTAGTAATTAGCTATAAATTAATAACTTTCGTATTTGCTAACAGGAGGAGATTGTGGATGATTGCAGTCAATTGTTTGAAATGATTAGCGAAAATAGGCAGTGTTAAATGAACAAATGTTTCGGTCATTTCGTAAATTCCTGCAATGCTAGATTTCTCAATAAGTAAGTTGTCCATTCTCGGAATGGTTTTTGCTCGAGGGGATGGCACACAGAAAGTATTACTGATTTTAATGTAGAAAGAACAATGCTTTCATAACTACCGCTCTTCATTTTTGCAACTTCACAGTGCGCAATTGAGGGAGGGGAAATGCAGAGACTCAAATCGGGATGATTTGGGCATTGACTTGCCAAGGCTTTCTTACGAGTTGCAGGTAAAAATTGCTGCATCTTACATGTCAGCCTGCCATAATATCATTAGGTCGGAAAGGAAAAAAGGTCGTTTTTCAATAGCAAAGCAATAAGACGAATTCAGAAAATATGTGAGGGTACCATTTGATAGAGCAATGAAAACTCGCTCTACAAGTGATCTTTTAACATTGTCAGATATCGAAATTTACTTAGAGTTTCAGTCAGGACATAGAAGCTCATGATCTACGAAACTTTCACTTGCGCTTGCATGTAACACACACATGATTATCCATTAATATAACATTTGATTCAACTGGCTTGGCACCATTAGGGCGGGGTTTTGTGATCTGATTGAGGCCGTTCCCGCCCGCAACGTATCTGCGTCTCTCTCGCGCGAGTGCTCTTTGATCATTACCTAGCCTTAATTAGTCACGAAGCCCCGCCTTTGCCGATGCCAAGCCTTGAATCAAATGGTACGCTATATTTTTCACTTAAATAAGAAAAAAACGGAAAATGGCAAACTTGGCTCCCAGTCGTCCTGGGTTCCTCCCATATATACGCTGTACTACAAACCTTCAAAACTTTGACCATAAAATGTTGGTCTCGAATATATTATAGTTTCTAAGGATTCCTTTACACTACCCCGCAGAACGGGCAGCATTGTGCGCTGCGTACGCCGCTGCAGTCGCAGCGAAAATATGCCCATGGCAGCACAGTTACGCTGTTTATCAATGTATCTGGAGATCTGCTGCACTTTGGTGTCCTATCGAGGGCATTTTTTTGGAGTTTGGAATCTTTTTCTTATCTTTTGCCTTTCCTCATCTAGATCAAACGATTCTTCATTCATGTTTTGAATTTGTGTGCGCCTTCGATTCCATGCAACTTACCTCGCTCCACTTTGTTGTCATCAATGACTTCAGTGCATGCACTACTTTGTTTATTTCTACTCATAAGGTACTAGATTTTTGTCCTTTCATTGAGATCCTTTCATCGAGCGATTATATTGCAAGAAGTTTTTAGCAACAACAAAATACTAGGATTAGATTATGCATATTGCGGTTAGTCAGGATGCAAATTGTGCAAGATTAAAAGTCGAGGAAGAACACGAATTCAAAATGAGTAAAGAAACATTATAAACGATGAGACAAGTTGAAAGAGAGAAAAGTTTGACTACTTTCGGAGAACACGAACAAGCAGCAAATACAGAAATCACTGATAAAAAGCGTGTTCTGCCATGAGCGTATTTTCCCTGAGACTGCAGCGGCGTACGCCATGTGCTGCGGCGCAGCCGCAAGCTCCGCGTCCTGCGACGTGGTATAAAGCGACCCTATCAATTTCAGCGAAAAAAACGGAAGTAAGTGAGATAAAGCGAAAATGATCATGCTTGATTTATGCACGGTACCCAAAGTCAGAAAAAACGTTAGTCAAAGTAGTCAATTTTACATGCTATAATTCCGATGTCATGTCATATTGGTGTGGTAGAATCAGACTGACTTTCAAAACTGAGTGCGGCTGTTACGTGAGAACATTTTTCTTTCTTCCAAAAATAATAATTTCAGGTTTCTGTCTTATGTCTATTTCTTTGTTGCTCTTTGAATGAGTATTAACTGTGTTCTATGATTTGTAAAGGCGCACTTCCTGTGCAATAAATATAATATAATAATATAATATAATAAAAATAGCGGCACTCTTTTTTTTTTCAGCCTAATAGAGGGCTTTTGAAGATTATCGTGACTAGTTTCTGTGCATGCAACATACTAGGCAAAAAGACCGCACGAGCGGCGTGCCACATCGGCCCAGCACACTCAGCCCACGGGTAAGTGGACTGAATTTGGGCTGAATTCTGGAGTCACCGGCTGGGGGTCACAAGTACCGGCTAAGCGACCCCCAATTAACCGTCCGAGCGGTATACAATGGAGAGATGCCGATCGAGCGCTTACAACCACCGGTCGAGCGGTATTGTTGATCTACCGGAGGTTTGAACCGAAGTACGCGAGAACAAGCTGTTCAAGCCTGTTAGCCACCTCATGTTTTGACACGACCAGAATCTCATTTTAGCAATCTTTAGATACATACTAGTACTGTTCACTCTATTGAAGATTGGGTTGAAGCGGCATAACGAACGACAGGAGCTTAAGCCATATAAATCAACGCCGCAGATATGGATGTAAACTTTCACTTCGTTCTTCCATTCTTGTTGAAGCGTTCTGAGACTATCTTCGCAAGAGGAAACGAAGTTTGGGGTCATTTGCATATCAAATATGTCAAATGAAAACCAGATAATCTGTCCTTTTTTCATTTTCATGAAAGGAAAAACTCTTTTCAAGACTCTACAAACGGCTCTGTAAGTGTAGAAATGCTTGCTCCAATTACATTAGCTCAATCATTCTTCGTTTAGACGTGACATACGTTCACGAATACGATCTGAAGAATGGAAAGTAGACTAATGACACAACCTGTCGAAAAGAAAGTTCACTATTGCATGTGTTTTTTCAAGAAGAAGAAAGCTGTCAGCACCCAAACCCGGTGAAAAGAAGATCTAACAAGGAATGCATGTTTAGTCGAAATGGCCGTTTTAAATAGGATGTATACCATACTGAAGGACATGAAATGCTGATTCCAAATCTGCCTTTGTTATCTGCAGAACTTTTATGGACGAGGAGTTAAGAGCGTTTATTGAAGCAAAAAATTGAATGTGCAAGTAGGACAAAAATAGCCGTAATGCTTTTTTCTAGCTCTTCAAGGGAGCAATGATAATCATCAGAGCATTTTATAAAAAGTACTCCAGAATAAAAAGTATATCACTTGGTTACACTACTTGAGGGCTAGTAAGATTTTAGCCACTCATTTTATCCAAAATGTACATCTAATTTTTGGCCCCAAAAAACGCTCATAACTCCTCGTACATAAACGTTCTACAGATAAGGAAGACAGTTTTAAAGCCAGCGTTTTATGCCCTTTAATATGGTGCACATCTCATTCGAAAAAGCCACTTTGACTAAACAAGCTTCCCTTGTAAGTAGGAAATGCTTACTGGTCGCTGTTTGTAATCTGTGATTACTAGTCAGTTCTCTTTTTGCTTTACATGTCTCTGATTTCAATTCTTGCGTTTTTTTTTGATATGAGATCTAGTTCGGTCAATAAAGGGGTTTATAGTAATATTTCTCTCACACAAGATGAGAATTCTTATACGAGTTGGATAGGAAGGACCTGTCCAAACACAGTGGACAGGCTATCATCCGTCAGACCGGGTCGCTGGCCAGAACACCCGGTGAGTGGTTACTGATACCGGGTGAGCAGTTTCACTGACCGTCCGAGCCTCCAGTTGAATCCTCTCGGCCGGTATCTGTAGCCGCTCGTCCGGCTTTTTGCCTGCCTTTCATACTTGAAGAGTTCCTTAAGAGCGTGACATCACTAAAAACACACTCACTGACTGCTGGAGTATGTGAAGATTTTATTTTGTCTTGCAGCCATCAGGGATGTCCCCTCCAGCTGCTTTTCTCACATTATGTACGCCGAAAAGAAAAGACTTAGCTTTGAGAACTCCACGTATTGCAGCTAATGACCGCAGTGATCTTAGTTGAGATCCTAATCTCTTAAACTTCGGTGTCGCTCGATTTTGAAAATGGCGCAGTTCACCGAACTATCTCGCTTGAAAGCTAAAAATTGATCTATCTATTTAAACAAAAGTTTTGGCGAGGGTGCAATGAATATATGCTCAGCTCTACTTGTCTCGAATTACGCTGACACCAGTTGACTGAATTTGGTTGGCGAAAACTGCACAATTACCCTATCTTCACGATTCAAGGAGCGGGGAGAAATCTTTGAATTTTGGCCAGCTCAAAACGCCGAAGGATTTCTTGACCGACTCTATACAGTGCTGCGTATTGCCTGAAAATATCGTGCAGCATAAGTTTTGTTTTTTGGAACATAGCTAAGCGGCTGAGCGGCTTGTTCAGAGAAAAACGAAGAAGGTGTGCCTTAAACTCGAAAAATAAAGGTACTTATTGAATGAAAACGAATGAAAAATAGAAGAGCGGAAAAAATATATGTGCGCTGCGTTATTTCTCACAAAAGTAGGTCTTTTCAGATTGAATTAAAGACGCTACATGGAAAATAATAGATTTTGATGTGCTAGCCGAAAATAATATTGGTATATTCAGCTTTTGACTTATATCCAATTGGGCAAAACTGCAAAAAAAAGAGAAATAAATGGATACGTACTGCAAGTTGGAAAGCAGACCCCAATACAGGTTGCTGAAAGCTCATTTAAAGGCACTGTCCACCCAAAATCTCGAATTCAACTTACCTCAGAAGGCTGAGTGAGCAGGATGAGTAAGCAAATTCGGAAATGTACAGAATCTTTTCTCCAGCCACATCAGAAAAGGCTTACCCAAACTTTCAAAGATATAGTAT